TCCGCCGCCTCCCCGGTGGGCGCCCTCAGCACGGCGGCGAAGACCGCCAGCTGCGTGCGCTTCTTCTCGGCATCGGCGCGGAGGGCGCGAGGGGCGCCCGGCGTCGACGCCGCCTGGAGGACCTCCTGGACCTCCTCAAAGACGAGGTGCAGCCGCTTCGCGATGGCGAGCTGCCGGAGGTGGGTGCGGTCCTCCTCGGCGACGAAGAGGGCGGCGATCGGGGCGTCCTCCCAGTGGTTTCGATGCCGCCGCCGCACGCGGAGGCACTCGACGAAGAACTGCAGGCGATCCTCCACCGCGACTTCCCGCAGGACCTCCTCCAGGACCTGTAGCTGACGCGCGGAGTAGAACATGTCGTTGTTCACGAAGCGAAAGAGCAGCGTCGCGGCGTCGTCGGCGACTTTTTCCTCCGGCACCGCCACCACCTTCTGCGGGAGCACCGCGAGAAACGGCGCGGTGGCGTCCACATAACGCCCGGTGCTGACGAACCGCAGCGCGACGGGGATGCCCTCCCGCACGTACGCGGAGTGGTGAATCATCCACCGCAACGACTCCCCCTCCGCGAGGGTGATGAGGCCGGAGCAGCAGATCGGCACCTCCCCCTCCGCCCCTTCCGGCACCCATTCCGCGAAGAGAAAGCCGTTTTTCAAGCGCCGCTCGCCCATGCCATACCACTCCAGCCGGTAGAAGTTATCGCTAAGTAGGAAAAACGGGCTCACCCGCAGCTGCGGCTGGTTCGCGCGCACCTGAAACGAGTTGAGCTGGTAAAAGCAGCAGCCACGCGCGGGGCGGAGGGATTCACGCGGGATCCCGCCCCCCCAACGCAGGGTATCCACCTTCCACGGGATCTGCACCTCATCATCGCGGGAGAACACCGAGACCCGCTGCTCCTCCTGCTCCGCCTCCTGCTCTTGCTCCTCCTCGGCCTCCTGCTCGTGGACGATCTCGGCGTCGAAGTCGATCGCGTGGTGCGCATCCGAGGCGTCGCCGACGGTGGGCTGCAGCTCCAGGCGATCCACGCCGCCACCGGCTTTCACGGGCGCGCGAGCCTCCCCAGAGGCGGTGACGGAGCGTCGGATGTGCTCAAGGAGCTGCGAGACCATCTCCTGGGCGTCGGTGTCGCCTCCGATGAGCAGAGCGGGGCGGGCGGCGATGAAGCCGTGGAGGTGCTCCAAAAATGGGGTGGGGGGCTCAATGCGGGCCTCAATGGGGTACTCGACCTTCTCGCGGAATTCATTGATGGAGGTCTTGAGCAACTCGAGGTCGGGGAGTGCGGCCCCTTCCACCCCCTCGCCGTTCGCCGCGGAGGTGGCGAGGAGGCCGTGCGGGCGCGGGATGCAGAACCGACGGCAGCGCATGTAGGCCGTGAAAAGCGACGGGTGTTGATTCGCGTAGGCGGAGTCGGCGAGGAGGTGGTGAATGGCCTTTTTCCGCCACACATTCGCGAGCTCCTGGAGAGAGAGCTTGAAGAACTGCAGGCCCTCGACCTTCATGGAGTTCAGAAGCAGCCACGCGGGGACGTCGTAGAGGATGTTGCCGGTTCGAAACCCGCCGAGGACCTCGTCGATGCGGGAAACCACCTCCGGGATGAGATACAAACACAGCCGCTGCCCTTTGCCAATCCCCCGCATCCGGTACGCGGCTTGGGCGTAATCGCGGAACACCAAATCCTTCCCAAGCGTAATGACGGCGGTGGCGGTTGGGGATTGTTTCACATCCGTTCCCGTCGTGTGGACCTGATCGAAGAAGGTAAACCGGCGTGAGAGCGACACCCCACACTGCGCGACGGGCACGATGAGGCCGTTATCCCGCTGCAACACCATCTGCCGATCTTGTCGATCGAGAAACACAACGCCGTCAAAGCGGGAGGCGGGAAGTCGGGCGAGCAAAAACCGCGCGATATCCTCGTTTTCCATATTCGTGATGAGTGCGCCGGCGTCGATGAGGGCGGCGTAGGGCGGCTGCGCGGCGGCGATCCGCTCCAGCACCTTCAGCGGCGTCCAGCTATCCGGCAAAACCTCCGCGTGGGCGACCTCGCGATTCGTGAGCATCGACAAGACCCGACCATCGCTTCCGGGTTCGTAATGGCAAACCCCGAGATCGCGCGGGAGGAGGTTGCTTGGGGTCCCACTGAAGCCGATCCGCTTGCGAAAGAGCATGGAGGAGCCCAGCTCATGCCCGCACGCGCTCACCTTCAGGCTCTGAAAGTTCATCGTCCGTGGGAAGACGCAGGAGCAGAGGTAGTAATGCACGACCTCGGGAACGCGATGGAGGAGGTGGTGAAGCACGTCGAGCTGGAATCGATCGCTGATCTGGAGCTGCGAGAGCGGCACACTCGCGCGGACGAACCCCGCGACCGCCGCGGAAGGCACCCCCCTCCCCTCCTCCTCCTCCCTCCTTCCCCTCCTTCGCCGA